TTCTCTCTCTCTCTCTCTCTCTCTCTCTCTCTCTCTCTCTCCCGTTCTCTCTCTCTCTCCCTCTTTCTCGATCTCCCTTCTTCCGTCTGATTCTCTGCTCTTTGGTGTATTGTGTGAGTGTCTGATTGTGTTTTTATGTGCGTGCGTATGTCGATTGAGTTTATATGTGTGTGTATGTGTGAGCGAGAAGGTGGAATCTGGAGTAATATGTCCCCTGGTCTGTGTGTGTGACTGTGTACGTGGATGTGAGGGCATATGTGTATTATGAGCACGTACGTGTATCCTCCTCTTGCTTTTGTCCGCGTAGCCAGGGGTGCTTGGGAAGGGGGTTGGGGTGGGGTTTGCTTGGGTTATATTACAGTTAATACGGGTAATCACTGTTCTCTAAGTCTTTCTGTTTCATTTAGTTTACTCATAAACCCAATGGTCTGCCCAGAGAAAGCCAGCGTGTGCGTCTTCAATGCATGATCACTTGAAACAGCATTGTAACCGGCGTTTGTTGTGTAGTGTTTAGCGGCTTCACTGTCACACACAGGAGACCCGAGTTCGATTCCCGAGTGGGGAGAACATTTCTTTGGGGTATCTCGGGATTTCTGCTGAGATGTATCCCTCTCTGCCAGGGTTGGCGCTGACAGACAGGGTCGGAAGCTCGCGTCTTAAATTATTTAAATTGTAGTTAAATATACACATTATTGATTTATTATGAACCAGTTACTTCTTTACCCAAACAGAAAGGCATGCTTTCACATTGAATAAACAAAGAGCATTTTATGATCGTCCATATAATATTATAGTTTTATGAGATTTACTTTCAGCTCTCAAAAATTAGTTACTGAGTGTGTGAGAATTAGAAAAAGGGACAAGTTATATTGTATCAAGTTTTCAGCAACTGGTAAGGCTTACATGTTATGGATGCCCAACCAAAAGGCGTCTGGAACTCCAACTGTCTTTACTAGGGTGTTTACGATCAATGCAAACCGTATATTTTCGTCCGCAAAGCAAGGCCACGATGAGGTCTTGACACCGTATCCCCCCTCCCTCCCCTTGCAAATATCGATATAATTTAGATTATTTAGTATGCAGGCTTCGACCCCGCCTGTCAAGGCCAACCGGACCGAGAGAGATACAACGTCCTTGCAGAAAGATCGAAACACTCGATACAAAGTCTTTACACACGGGAATCGAACTCGGGTCTTCTGTGTGCGACGGGAAGCACCTGACTGCAATACCACAATGACTGTATCAGGGCCCATAGCCTCATAAACCTGTCCATATTTTAATAACATCCAATTAAAGATGGTGAGGCATAAAACTTCACAAATCGCTGCTGGGATACACACACGCACCCAAATAATGCACAAACAAGAAAAAACGTGTACAATTGCCAGCATTGTCGTTTGTGCTGGATCGATGGGATAACAATACAGCTGGTTCGCATCAATAGAAGCCCAGGTTGGTTTTAGAAATTGTGATTCCTTTGAGGATAATGCCAGACTCACACAAGAGCGGAACCGTATCAGCTTTTATTACAGCGGTTCTCCCAGTATTCTCATTACAAAAAAAATTGTATTAAAACTGGAAAGCACAATTCCATAATAATATTCATAATAATAATAATAATGATAGTAATAATAACAATAGTAATAATAATAATAGTAATAATAACAGTTCGTTCAACGTGAACTGACGATAACGGTTAACATTTATCCGAAGAGGAAGAATAAAAACAAACATATATATATTATAACAAAATAAAAACAAACATATATATATTATAACAAAATAAAAACAGTAATAATGAAAATAACAGCAGTAATAACAATAACTATAATAATCCTTTTTTTTCTCGTCCCCAGGTTGTGGGCCAGGATATCACGGCTACAACTGTACAGAACGTTGTTCAACAAGCTGCTACAACAGTTCGTGCAATGCTAATACTGGAGTCTGTGACTCGTGTATAGCTGGGTACCAAGCAGACTATTGCGACCAAGGTAGGCAGTCTGCGCCGGGCATGCGCACTACGTCTTGTGCTGGGCACCGACTTAGATTTTCTTTGACTGGATATCCAGAAAAGAACTGGATATAACTGGGTCAACCCGGATTTCAGGCTTCCTCGTGTGCGCAGCTAGATACATTGACATGTAGAAAGCAGATCTAGAGCTGGGCAGAAACTCAAATCTAAGGTAAATCCGGATCTCGTAGAAAGGAGGCCGAAAAGTATGTCGAAGCATTTTGGGTCTTCAACTTAGTTATTCAAAATCTGGATGTATCCATATTTACATTTGGGTTTCTGCTCAGCCCCATTGAGCTCATACACGCTCGGGGATTGTACTCACAACTTCGAACTGGTTCATAGTAAAACATTAATTGTATCTCTTATCTTGTATATTTAATTGTTATATTTTTATTGTGCATGTCCAGCTTTTTGCCTGCTGTTTCAATATGCTCCGCTCACTGATAAAAGCAATTAGGAAAATACCAAATAATGTTGTTTTTTAAAAGATTTTTTTGGTTTTTGGTAAGTACTTTACGGCGCTCGCAACTGCATAAGATCATATGAGCGCACATAACACATTAAACATTTTCAGATAGTAAGATAGGAAATTTTGAATTTTGCCCGGGTGGTGGCCAAAATCTACTGTATCGAATTTTGGACCGGTACCAATGGGTCTTTAACGTGCGCAACTTGCACACAGAACCTCCGAAATTTTTCGCCCTTGTCCGAGAAGGCTAGGTGTAGATATTCCCCGCCATAAGATCAGGGGTGTGGCTGAAAGACAACAATAAGAAGGAGCCAAGGAGTAGCAGTAGCAAGGCTGCAGACAGAGTCTGGAGCCCAGAGGAGGGGACAAAGGAGGTGAAGGGGTGGGGGCAGAAAGTGGAGACGAAAGCAGACGATAGAACTAAGTTAGAGAGCAGGAAAGGATGCGAACCGGGGACCTATTGAATGAGAGGCGAACACCTTAACCTCAAGGTCATGAGAGCCACCAAATGTAGTTTCTGGGACATTTGAACAGACTTAGGGGCCTAGACCATCTAGCTATCACTGGTGAAACTGAAGGCAAATGAGACACGGGGAGACCCAGCACCACTGACTTTCTTGGAAATCCGAAAACAGATGGGAGACGGGGAAAAGATCAGTAGTAATAATAATAATAATAATAATAAT